CCCGCCACCACCAGCACCCCCCCTCTCCGGACATGGAGTCCTGGTATGCTATGGATTTGGGGCATGGGTCTTGCCTCCCAGGAGCCTCAGTTTCCCCATGTGTTCAGTGGATAGTTGAGAAGGGGCCAGATGTATATGGAGGGCTCTGGTTTTGGGAGAGGCACTCAGAGGTTTGTTGAGTGAATGAATGATCGGTGTTTTTAATGCCACCTGTTCCCCTCTGGTACCCCTCCCCCTCTGCTTCCCAGGGAGGTGACCAGGTAAGGAAGACAAGGAGAGGATTCCCCCGATTTCCTCTAGGGGCAGCACATCAACCCTGCAAGCCCACCTCCGGGACCCAGGTAAGTTGTAAACAGGGAGTGGGGAGGGGGCGGATGCCGCCTGCCCAGCATCTGAGAACTTTGGGTGCAGGCGGTAAGAAACGGATGTAGGATTAGGAGCATTTTGTTTCACGGACTCTCCAGAACGTAAAAGCGGGAAGGATCCCGGGAGATTCCAGGAGGGGGCTGAAGAGATGGAGACACCGAGGCAAAAATGGGCTAACGCTGGCCCCAGCCGCAAAGGGAGAAAGGGCGGGACCTCTGTTAAAGGCCAGCAACCGGGGCAGGCACGGGCAGGAGCTTGTGGGGGTCTGCGTGTATGCCTGGGGTTACCCTGTCTGGCCACACCTGTACCTAATTCCTTACAAGGAACCTCTGGCTGTCGGCCCAGGACAAGGGCACAGGTGGCGAGGAGGGAGGACGTGGGGGGGAGAGCCCCCCCTTCAGTGTATCCTCACCGCCCCCTCCCACCCCCCCAGGGACCATCCTCACCGCCTGGAGTCGGTCAGTCAGTTCCCGCCGACGGTTCCTACACTTTGCTGCTGCCAGTTTGTTTCTTTCCCGGCGAACCCTTCTCTTCTCCTCCTCTTCCGGAGTAAGCTGAGCAGGAGAGATAGAGGCCATGAGGTTTGGGGACCTTGTGCACCTCCTCCATCCACCCCAAACCTCCTCTTCTTGCGGGAGGCAGAAAAGGACCCTCTGCTAGGGTTTCTGTAGCCACCAGAGGCCTGGGTGGCCCCTCACCCCGCGGGCGAGAAAGTTACTGCCTCTCTGGCTCCCTAGACCCAGTCCGAGTTGTGTTGCCGCTTACTCACCGTCTCCTCTCGGGGTCTCCTAGGCCGGGCTCGGGCCGGACGGGCAGGCCCAGGTCCGCTGGCGGTTCCGCTGGTGGAAGGCCCACCACTGCCACTGGCTCCGCCACTGCCGTAGCCACTCATGCCCGGCGTGGAGTAACTGGTTCCTGGCATGTCGTAGGGGTCGACGGCCGGGGGCTGGGAGGCCAGTGGTTGCCCCTGGGACTGGGCCATGGAAGAGATGAGGGTGGGTTGCACGAGCCACTGGAGGTCCTGGCTGGTTGTGATCGCGGTGACCGTGGGCACGAAGGAACCGGGCATTTCCCCGAGACCGGCGCACTCCTACGGGGTGACACATACACACACAGGCGTAGACACACAAACAGAGACACCGACACACACACACCCAACACACATACACACACCGACCCCCGTGAGTGAGCACAGGGCGAGCGGGTGTGGATGTGTGTGTCACAGGCAAAAAGCCACAACACCCACCCTTCCACTACACCGTGACGCAGTGGTTAATGAGAGGATTTCTGCTCAACTGGCTTCTACCTCCTCCTTCTTCTTCGGGGAAAGGTTGCACGGTTCCAGCGGGTGGTGAATCACACCCCGGGTTGGTGACTCTTAGGTGGGGGGGGGTGGGGAGGAGGCTGGACACAGCCGGGTGACAGAACCCCCGGGAAGGAGTCACAGCCACACACACAGCCACAACACCCCACCCCCACCCCACAGGCAAGGGGAGGGAGAGGGAGAGGCCTGAGGCCAAGCCTTCCTCTACACTCACACACACACACACACCCCCCTCTGAGCCGGGGGGATGAGCGACTGGAAGGTCCATGAGACCTCCGTGCAGGGGCGGGGGTCTTAGTTAAAAGGGTGTTGGGGGACAGGCCTAGGAGTTTAGAACAACGTTTCAAGTAATTGTTTCTCCACGGGGTGAGGCTGACAAGTGACAGGTTACGGTGGACGGACAGGTAGAGAAAGTGACGACCCGGGCACCCTCAGACTGCCGCGGAGGGAGAAGGGTGTAGGTCCCGGGCCCCCGAGCCCGAGCCGCGCTCATCTACCCCCCCACCCCCCAAATGGAATCCTAGAACTGCTCGGAAGGCTTAACTACTCTCCCAGGGGGCGTGGTGAGGGAAGGGCTGGCTCGCTGGCCAATCAGAGTCCTGGAAGCCCAGAGAGGGCGGGGCTCCTGGAGACCACCTGGCTCGTTCCCCCTGCGGTTAGCGGTTCCAGTCCGGTCCTCGGACACAGCAGAGGGATCTGGCAGAGGGGCTGGGACTGTGTCTGTGTATGCCTGGAGAAAAGGGTGACAGTCACCCATGTCTCCCAAAGAAACCCCTGCACACAGGCACCCTCGGCCCCTGAGATCGGAGGGGCCGGCTCGCCGCAGGGTCCTCGCGGACCCATTGGATCGCAGAGAGTCGCTCCTGTCGCGACAGGAATCCCCTCGCTCTGCCTTTAGAGGCCCGTAAAAGAGACCCTAGCGCCAAGGAACCACGAGTTCCGGGGACAGAGAGGGGGAAGGGAACTGTACCCTACAAATAGGAAGGGAAAGTTGATTGGCCAAAACCCGCGCCGCGGCGGCCAATCGGAACGCCGAGCTGCCCCCTCCCTTAGCAACGTGGCCCCGGCGTTCCAAAATAGAACGCTCCGGGACGTCAGGGGCGGGGCGGACGAAGGGGGCGCCGCGCGCCGTGCGTGCCCCGCGTCAGACGGAGGATTCCAGCGCGTCAGCCGTTACGCACGGGTCCCCCGTTACGTCTCCGCGCAGGAGGCGGAGGCAGCGCCTCCAAGCGAGGGTTCGAGGCCAGCTTACCCGCTGGATCGAGCGCAACCCGATGCCGGAGTAGGCGCTCGGTTGGAGAAGGAAAAGGGAGGAGGCTACTGGAAGCTTCCCTGGGACTTCTCCACCTGCCTAACTGAGCTAGCTTCAGGTTGGCGACCTGGGTCGGGGGCAGTCCCGGAGCAGGCTAAAAGTTCGCAGCCCGGCTACCGCATACACGTTGCACTGAACGGAGCATTCTCCCCACCCCCAAAGCTAACCCCTCTGCGTTCCCTTCCTGCGATCCACGCACACAACCAATTGCAAACACGCCCCGACTCTGCAGTTTGCAAAGTGCGCGGTGAGCCTATTCTCTCTCAGATCCTGAGTTTTGATGCGTCTTTATTTGGGAGGGGGGATGGCGCGTTCCCACCCTGACAAAAAAGAAAGAAAGAAAGAAAGAAAACCCATAAAGCAGCACCCCAACCCTCTAGAACTTACCTGGGAGGCGGCGGCAGTGGGTGGACTGCCGAAGGAGTCCACCGAAGACAGATACTGAGACTCGGCGGAGGGTGAGGAGCTGCACCGGGAGCCGGAGTCGTAGTCTCCGGGGAAAGCTTGAAACATTTCCCTGGGCACAGGGGGGGCCCTGTGACCACGCTGAGGTCGCCGGGAAGCCAAGGCTATGGCCGGGTGGAAGAGAAAGGTGCGAGTCCGGGGTGAGCCGAGCGCGTCCCCAAAGCGCGCTGTCCGAGGAAACTCGGGATGGGGGCAGCGTCCCGCTCCAACAATGGCAAAGTTTCTGTGCAATTCCTCTGCGGTGCCCAGGCCCCCACAAGATGCCGCTGTGCCTCCTGAAAGTCCAGGCTCCGTAGGACCCAGGGGCGTGGGGGGGATCGCTCCCCCAGAGGCGGAAAGCGCTGTCTTGCTGTATAGAATCCGCTTCGGGTGCGGTCTTCTCCACGCGTCCAGCGGGTCCCACGGGGGGAGGGGAGTAATAAAGAAGACAAAAAGAGTAAGTCGCTCCTCCAAAATAAAATGTAGAATTATCTAGAAGAATCCTCCCCAAAACTTTCTCTCCGGAAAAAAATAATAAAGCGAACTTCACAGCCCCCAAGAACCACAACAATCAAGTCCCCAAGTCTCAGCTCCGCCTGTCCCTGCCGAAGCCGTACCTCTCAGTCTTATGAATGAAGCCCAAAGCCGCCAGCCTGTATTTATTTGTCCGGGACCCGCCCCCCTGCTTACGTCACTCGTCCAGCGCTCCACAAACTTCCTAAAATCTCCGGTCCTGCGGAACTCAGCCCCGCGCCGTCCGGCAAGAGGTCTACCCTAGCCTCGATCTGTCCACCTGAATCACCCCCGCGGCCCTGGGGGTCGTGCGGGCTCAGTTCCAGGGTCCTCGGCGGGAGGGGATCCCGGCCCCGCCTCCCAGGAGTTCCTGTGACGCAATTAGCCATATAAGGATCTCGGCCGGCGCGGCGGAGTGTTTGTTTGGTATCCTAGCAATTACGTCAGAGGGAATCCCTCGCTCGCTCGCGCGCTCACCCCGCGCGCCTGCGGAACCCACCCGCGCCTGCGCAGTGCCGCGCCGCCCCGGGGGCCGGTATTAATAGGCTCTTAAGCTAGCCTGGGGAAGACCCCGGTGAACTGGTACCCGTCACTTCTGGAAGCCCCTCACATTTCTCCTGTGATGCAGCGCCCTCATTCAAGAGGAAGGTCAGACCCCCAGAAAAGACCCTGGCTAGTGTGGTCTAGTCACGTAGGCGGGGAAACTGAGTCCCAAAACGGAGTGGGAGGGGCGGTGATGCTCCAGGTGAAAGTGGAGGAGGGGATGGCGTCCCGAGGCTCTTCGCTGCTTCGGCCGGGACTCGCTGAGCGGGCTCGGTAATGTTTTCTGTCTCTGAGCTTCGGCTTCAGTTTTCCCAGCTGGACAAAGGATGTGTGTTTTGGACCCTGCTGGCCCCGCATTCCGGCGTTTGGGAGGTATGCGTGTTTGGAGCGGGTAGAGAATGAAATTTAGGATGAAGCGTCTCCTGCCTGCTAGGAAATGGGTTCAAGAGTTTAATTCAGGTACTTGGGGTATGCCACAGCCCCCAACTCTTAAGCATCCACTGGCAAGGGTCCTAGCAGCTGCTTTACAAATTTCAAAGATCCTGATTCTTCCCTCCCAAAGCAGAGCCTCGCCCAGCCCTGGGCACAGAGGGAGAAGCGCTTTGAGACTATTGAAGCCCAGAGAGGACGGGACCCCCATCAGGGTCACAGGCAGGTCTGAGGCAGAGCAGGAGGGGGTGGGTGGACCCTGACTCCCAGGAGAGTCTTGATTCCCCGCTTCAATAGTGGGGAAGGAGGTAGGGAGACGTGGAAGGCTGGAGGGACACAGGGGCCAAGATGGGCAGACTGAGGTTTCCAGACAAAAGCCCAGCCTCAAGCCTACCCTCCACCTCCTTCCCCCACGCCCCCTCTGTCTGCCACCGGTCTGGAAGTAGGGACACGGACCAGGGTATGACACAGCAACCACCAGCAGGCAGTGACTCGGCCCCAGCATCAGACAGGGAGTGACCCCTCATTCCCTGTCCTGTCCAAGCCCCCCATCTCTCCCACAGAATAAAGGAGACCCACAAAAACCCTGCTGCCCAAAGACCTTCACACCCTAACAGGTGGCCCATGCAGCCACACAGCCACTGGCATGTACTCACAGGGTCATGTGGGTATTCAGACATTCACCTGCCAGCAGCAACACACAGGGCCACACACGGAAATAGCTCCACACCCCCCCACCACCACCACACACACATAT